TTCGTCAACACCACCATCGTTTTCTTTACTTCAAGACGAAATCATCGTGAATTGCCTGGCACGGATCTCGAGGTTGAATTACCCTAGACTCTCAATCGTTTCCAAAAGCTTCCGGTCACTTCTCTCTTCCACAGAGCTCTAAGCAGATCGATCTCGACTCGGAAGCACCGAACAGTGTCTCTACCCCAAAACCTCTCCCGGAACCGTAACACTGGGTGGTGAAGCAGTATGACTTATTCATGCTAGAGAGGTATCCAGCAAAATGTGCATAGTTTTGTGATTCTATAACATTGTGCATAATTTCAACTACTAATTACATTGCCTGAAACACTGTGATCCTAAAAAAAGAACTGAACGTTTACATATTTACAACACAGAATCAGTGCTTCTAAACTCTTACCGCTAAGACACAGAATCCACATTCCCTATTTGGTTAACAAGAAGACTAAACATGAAAACAGCATAAACACTAGTCTATACATATACACATTGATAACCTAATGGCTAGCCCGGCTTCCACTCTTGCTAGCAGTTCCGCTTTCACTGCTGCTACTTCTGCTACCACTGCCACTACTCTCAGCTCCGCTTTCGCTGCTCTCATTTTCTCTACCGCTGCTTGAACTTGAGCTCTTTCGCTCCTCCTCTCTTGCTTCTGCGTTTACTTGAGCTCTAAGTGCTTCTGCTGCATTAAGACCTTTGTACGAATCATCATCATTGATATCTACATCTGCAATCTCATCCTCCTCCATTTCAGCAGGATGCGGAAGATTAATGTCAATGTCAAGGCCACCAGTTCGAAATTCCTTTGTCGACAAAGTTTCTTTTCTTGCTGATTCTTGGCCATCATTGGCATCTTCATCATCATCAATGTTGACATCCTCCTCGGATTCATTGACAATAGGGTTAGGAGCAGATGAATATGGATCATCTTCGTTTTCATGATCTGTTACAGTAGACAAAAAGTAGTTGACTTCCAACCATACATACAAACAACAAATAAGTGAGTGAAACATGCCACAGTAGAAATCTGTATACCTAAGCTAGCAGGATTGTTAATGTCAATTTCTGCCACCTTAACCTGCAACATTGAAGAAAAAAACACAAAAGCTCCGTATTACTTCTCGAAAAAACCGTTTTGCTAACATGCCAAAGACCGAGAGCAAGCGAGAGATAGACTTATACCGGTTTAACCGTGTTTGCAGCTGGAGGAACAACCTTTGTTGCTTTACTAACAGATTCAGTAACCGACGGTGCAGCGGAATCGCCAGGAACACGCAAGTATTTTAAACGTTTAACAGCTCGATGAAGCTTCTCCAATCGAAATGTTTCGCCATCAAAAAAGATAATTGCATCTTTGTCTTTATCATTGTAATCCTCACTAACACCATCAAACCGAACACTAGGTTTACCAATTTGATTGTTCTGAAACTCCAACGTAACCTTATTATCATTACTCTTGTGAAACGATCCTGGTTTCTTATTATCAATCGATGCAGGTTTAAACTCATCTGGAACAAAAAAAGAACCAACAAGAGAATTGAAGAACCCTAAACACAAATTTCCAGAAATTGTCCCAAAAGGTCCTTTTTTTTTCCGAATTTCTCAGAAACAGAACAAACCCATAAAGAGAATCGAAACAATTTTTGTTTACTTACATCGTAAAGTACAGAATCTGGGAGAATATAAGTGACAATCGCTGAGTAGTGATGGTCCTAACGTAATATTGTACCAGCGATTTGGCGCTGGAGCTATACTTGGCTCTTCATTGTGATTCTCCATTACTTCATCCAATTTTCAAAATCTCAAACAAGAAGAAAACTTTCTGAATCGTGTGATCAAATCCCAAATTTTGGTTCAATTCATTTGGAACTCGAAGAAATTCAGAAACTCTGTTCTTCATGTAAATGGGCTCTAAACGGCCCATTTCTTTAAGACCTCTCAGCCCATTGACGTCAAGACGGGAGCTTCTTCTTCTTCTTCATAGTTCGAAACTTTTTATTTTTTGGTCGTCAAAGTTCGAAACTTCAATGCGATAAGTTGAATCGTATACGAACCCTAAAATTTGTGGTTTTTTTAAAAACAATTCGATCATGATTCAGTAGTTTTAAGAAATGGAGGAGAAGCTTGCAAGGAAGAGAAGGGTATTGTTAGTTCCAGCTCCTGCACAAGGACATATAACTCCAATGATACAACTTGCAACGATCCTTCACTTAAAAGGTTTCTCCATTACAATTGCTCAAACCAAGTTTAACTACTTCAACCCTTCAAATAATTTGTCTGATTTTCAATTTGTTACCATCCCTGAGAATTTACCAGAGTCTGATCTTAAGAATCTAGGACCAGGACGGTTTATGATTAAGCTAGCTAAAGAGTGTTGTTTTAGCTTTGAAAAGTGGTTGGGTCTGTTTTTGCTTCAACAACAAAGTATCAATGAAGAGATTGCTTGTGTTATCTACGATGAGTTTATGTACTTTGTTGAAGCAGCAGTTAAAGAGTATAAGCTTCCTAATGTCATTTTAAGTACCACAAGTGCAACATCTTTTGTTTGTCGCTTTGTCATGTGTAAACTCTATGCAAAAGATGGCTTGGCACCTCTGAAAGGTATAGACTCCATCAGAGTTTTCAGTTTTGCTATTAGTATCTGTCTCTGTTGTTTTCTAACGCCAATACATGTGTTCTGCAGAAGGCGGTGGCCGAGAAGAGGAGCTAGTGCCGGAGTTATATCCCATAAGGTACAAAGACTTACCGACTTCAGCCTTTGCACCGGTAGATTGCTCAGTGGAGTTGTTTAAGAAGACATGTTATACAGGAACAGCTTCCTCTATGATAATCAACACAGTGAGGTGTCTTGAGATCTCATCCTTGGAGTGGCTTCAACAAGAACTTGAAATTCCGGTTTATCCGATAGGCCCTCTTCACATGGTGGCTTCAGTTCCTCCTACGAGTCTACTAGAAGAGAACGAAAGCTGCATAGGATGGCTGAACAAACGGAAGCCGAGCTCCGTGATATACATAAGCTTGGGAAGTATGAGTTTGATGGAAATAAAGGAAGTATTTGAAATGGCTTCGGGTTTGGTTAGTAGCAACCAACACTTTTTGTGGGTGATTCGACCTGAATCCATACGTGATTCCAAATTTTCTAATGACGAAGAGTTGTTAAGGAAGATGGTAACATCGGATCGAGGTTACATTGTGAAATGGGCACCGCAGAAGCAAGTGCTTGCACATTCTGCGGTTGGAGCGTTTTGGAGCCATTGTGGATGGAACTCGACTCTAGAAAGCCTCAGTGAAGGAGTTCCAATGATATGTAGGCCTTTTACGACTGATCAAAAGGGTAACGCAAGGTACTTGGAATGTGTTTGGAAAGTAGGGATTCAAGTGGAAGGTGAGTTAGAGAGAGGAGCGGTCGAAAGAGCAGTGAAGAGGTTAATGGTTGATGAAGAAGGACATGAAATGAAGGTAAGAGCTCTCAGTTTAAAAGAGAAACTTAAAGTCTCTGTTTCAGGTGAAGGTTCTTCACACAAGTCACTTGATGACTTTATCAGGACTCTATGACTACGAACTCATGAATCTCATGTTCTAATGAAAGTTAAACTCTACCTTACTATTAAGATTTGGGCAATGGTTAATTTAAATCACTTTACTAAATCAATAATGGCCAACAATCCTTTATGGTGAGTTTATTAGTTGGTTTTATCAAGTGTGCGGTATCAATAATCTTCTTCTTTACCACAAAATTAATAACTCCAATACTGATGGAGTTTTCATAAAATTATAGACGGCAAAGGTGGGC